CCTCTTCTTCACATTATTTCAGTATCAAACCAATAATTGTTATCTGTTTCGGAGCTTCGGTCACTCGTCCAAAAGGTTCGAGACCGAGAAACCGTTCGTTCTTGTTAATGACTTTTATACACGCACTCCCTTACACGCACGCACGGAATACGAAAACGAAATAATAATAAAAAAGATAAAAAAAAAAGAAAATATATGATAGTTTAGAATGGGGAAAAAGGGAGGTAAAGGAAGTGGAGAAAAGGGACTTAGAAGAAAAGAAAAAGAAGAAGAAGAGAAAATATATAATAGTTTAGAGGTAAAAAAAAGAAGCAAAGAAGTGGAGAGAAAGAGATTAAAAGAAAGGAAAAAAAAAGTAAGAAAATTGTGAGGGGAATACGAGGGCCAGGAAAAAGAGATTTTGAAAATAAAATGTATAAGTAATCGTTTTGAAAGGGACCTTGTAAAATGGGGAAGAGATAACAAAAAAGAAAAAATAAGTGAACAGATTGGGAAAAAATATATATGTGTAACGTATATATCACAGTTGAGGGATAATGATGATAATAATGATAATTACGATAATGATGATAATGATAATGGTAATAATGATAATAATAATAATAATAATGATAATAATAATAATGATAATAATAATAATAATAATAATGATAATAATAATAATAATAATAATAATAATAATAATAATAATAGTAATAATAATAATAATAATATTATTATTAATAATAATGCTAATGATAATGATAATAATAATGATAATGATAATACTAATACTAATACTACTAATAATAATGATAATAATAATAATAGTAGTAATAATAATGATAATAATAACAATAATAATAATTATTATGATAATGATAATAATAATGATAATGATAATAATGATATAAATATTAATTTGATAATAATAATAATAATGATGATAATAATAATTCTAACAATAACAGTAATGATAATAATAATAATAACACAAATAATAATAATCATCATCATCATCATCATTATAAAGATATTATTCATAACAATAATAATGATAATGATAATAATAATAATAATGATAATAATAATAATACCAATGATAACAATATTAATTAGAACAATAACAACAATAATAACAATGATAATAATAATGATAATAATAATAATAATAATGATAATGATATTGATAATGATGATAATAATAAAAACAATAATGATAATAATAATAATAATAATAATAATAATAATGATAATAATAATAATAATAATAATAATAATAATAATAATGATAATGATAATTATAATGCTAATGATAAGGATAATGCTACTACTACTACTACTACTAATGATGATAACAATAATAATATTGCTAATAAGAATGCTAATAATAATAATGATAATATTAATAATAATGATAATGCTAATAATAATAATAATAATAATAATAATAATAATAATAATAATAATATCATTAATAATCATAGTAATAAAAGATAATAACAATAATGATAATAACTGTTGATTATAATCGTAATGATAATAACAATGATAATAATACTAATAATGATGATATAATTTTAAGAAATTTACGTGATCAAGGCAAAGGATCATGTATGCAAGGGGTTATTTATGTAATAATGATAATAACAACGCTATAGACATAACTGAATATACAACTTTAGAGAGAGAAATGTCAGGCGGCCATGATCAAGGCAAGGGATCATGTATGTAAGCCTTCTCCTCTCTTTTAATTGCCGCGAAATTAGACTCGGAAACTGCTAGATAGAGAGAGAGGGAGAGTGTAATCTGTAATGGTCTCGTGGCGTGCAGTTTTGTGGGGATTTTGTGCTTGTTTGTATTTGTTGCTAGATGGATGTGGTTGGTTTATTTATTTATTTATTCATTTTTTTGGGGGGGCGTCTTTCTTATATTGATGATTTTGATTTTATTTTATTTCTTCATTTCCGGTCGTTGTAATCGCGTTTTGTTATGTTAACTTTCCTATGAAGCCGTATTTTTTCTGTCCCCTCCTTTCTCTCTCTCTCTCTCTCTCTCTCTCTCTCTCTCTTTCTCTCTCTCCTTCCATCTCTCCCTCCCTCCCTCCCTCCCTCCATCTCTCCTTCCTTCCCTCCCTCCCTTTCCCTCTCCCTCTTATTTTTTTCACCCCCTCCACCTCCTCCTTCTTTCTCTCGGAGGGAAATAAAGACAGAACAAAGGCGAGAAACGCGACCAGCATTATTGGACCAACTGCAAGTCTTAGATCAACTCGAAGCGATGGCGTCTGTGTGACAACTGGCGGGTTTCCAGTGATCGCAGACGACAGCTGTTTCTAAACACTCGTAGAGGAGAGATTATGCTTCTTACTTATAAGATTTTTTTTTTTTTTTTTTTTTTTTTTGGGGGGGGGAGGTTATTGATTGTATGTTTGTTACAGTGTGATTTTTTTTTTGTTTATTTTACTTTTTTTTTGTCTATGCCTCTTTTTTTCCCTCTCACTCGCTCTCTCTCTCTCTTTTTTTCTCTTTGTTTGTCTATCCATCTATCTGCGGAATCTATACTCTCTCTCTCTCTCTTTGGTTCTCGTTTTCTGTTTCTCTCTCCCACTCCCCTTCCCTCACTGTCTCCCTTCCTTTCATCTTCTCTCTGCCTACCTTTCTCTCCCTTCCACTCTTTCTTCTTCTTGCTTTCTCTACATCCCTTCCTCTCTCTATTGCATATGCAATTTTGTATGCATATTGAGTATATTTTTGCTATATTATTATTAATCTTTCTAAATCCGTCTCTTTCTCTATCTGTCTGTCTTTCTGTCTCTCTCTGTATCTCTCTCTCTCTCTCTCTCTCTCTCTCTCTCTCTCTCTCTCTCTATATATATATATATATATATATATATATATATATATATATATATATATATATATATATATATATATATATTTCTCTCTCTCTCTCATTCCTTCTGTTTCTTCCTTATACAGGTCAGGAAGACGCAGACAGCATTTTGACTCAGGAACTTGAGACGATCGAGAAAATACGAAGAAATTACCCACATCTACGTCACGTCCCAATAGTGAATGAGTGAGTAATAGAAAAAAAAAATCTTTCTTTCTCTTTCACGAGGAAGTGAGTCAGTGAGTTATACCAATCCAGCTAGTGATTCATGAGTTATTCCTCCTCCTCCTCCTCCTCCTCCTCCTCTTCCTTCTCTTCCTCCTCCTCCTCCTCCTCCTCCTCTTCCTCCTCTTCCTTCTCTTCCTTCTCTTCCTCCTTCTTCTTCTCCCTCTCCTTCTCCTGGGTGAGTTATCATGAATAAGCAAATGGGTGTATTTGTGAATAAATTAATAAAACGGCCCCTGTCGCTTGTGAATGGAAAGGAGGAAGAAAGGAAGGAAGGAAGGAAGGGAGGAAGGAAAGGGGGGGGGTGAGGGGAGAGGATGAAGCAGGGTCACATAATGAATGTATTAAAAAGACTCATCTCAGGGAACCGGTGGGAATAGATGAATAAAAAATAACCGTTGCCCTTTGAGCATGAGTAAGGACATAGGGACGGCCAGATTGCATGTTCATGGGTGAGTAAATGGGTCACTATTATGTAGAAGGAAAGGGACTGTGTTTGACATAGGGGTTGAAATAACATAGCTGTTTGTATATTCATTTTCATTATGTAGAAATGGGTAAGAAATGGCAAGGTGTGTACATATAACCTCTTTTAGTACATTTGAATACGCTTTTTTGTGTGTTTTTCTGTCTTTTAGTTATTCGATTTGTAGTGAATTAAAACCTTTTCTCTCTCATTAATTACACAATTAATTCAACTAAACCTTGCGTGAATCGGACGTAATTTTCTCTAGTGAAAATAAGTAAGTTCTTGACTTAGTTGAAATAGTAACATATATATGTAAGCACACATATACACATATACATGCATTGCACGCAGATATATTCACGTGTGGTAGATAAATAGATAGTTAGAGATAAAGATAGACACAGATAAAGAGGTAAGCAAGTAGATCGATATATACAGACAATCGATCGAGAGACAGGTGCACATAACCTCCCCCCCCCTTCGCCAGCAGACTAAAACAAAGGTCCCCGCTTTATCTCTCCGCAGCGAAGGCGATTTCCTGAAGGGGTGGTGGCGCAGTCGTTCCTGGCGAGCAGATGGGCGGTACGCAGGCCTGGTGGCGCGGGCGGTCTACACCCACCACGAAGCTCTCTCCTCCCGCCCACGCCTCAACTACCAACTCATTAGCTTCGACAATTCGTTCCTTAACTACTTCCCCAACTTTTTCGAGCAGCGGAGTTTGGTGGCCAGGTGGGAAGAGCGCGGCTGTTTATGCGGCTCTGCTTGCGGGGGGTAGGGTTAGGGGTGATGGGTGGGGTGGGGGTAAGGGTGGGGGGTAGGTGGGTGAGGGGTGGGGGGGGTTTGGTTGTTTTTTTTGGGTCGGTTCTCTGGATTTGCTTTTGTTGTTTTGTTGTTGATGTAGTGCTTATGTTATTGTTATTATTGTTAATGTTATTGTATGGTTGATGTCAATTATTATTATTATTATTATTATTATTATTATTATCATTATTATTATTAGTAGTAGTAGTATTAATATTATTATTATTATCATTATTATTATTATCATTATTAACATTATTATTATTATCATTATTATCGTTATTATTATTATTATCATTATTATTATTATTATCATTATTATCATTATCATTATCATTATCAATATTATCATTATTATTGTCATTATTATTTTCTATGTTTTGTTGTTATTGTTCTTTTTCTTCTTGAATTCTTGTCGTTGTTGTTGTTGTTGTTGTTGTTACTGTTATTGTAAGCTATGTATTCCTAGAATATTTTCGCTTAATTATTATTCCTATTTTATCCGGTGTCTTTGTATTTTTCTGTTACTATCGTCGTCTTTCTCAGTGTTATTGTCCTTGTTATTGTTGTTGTGTCTATTTAGTTTCATATATCATTATATCATCATTATTTTATTCGTTGTCTTTGTCTTTCG